ATGGCGGGAATCGGTTTCGTCCGCCTAACCAAGAATGAAGAGGGCATGCAAGCGTCGGCTCGCATTGGTAATCAATGCAAGCCAGCGCACATGTGCTTGAACTTGGAATCGCGCGGATCCCCAGGGCTTTCTGATTGCATTTGCGCCTGTGAAGGGCAGCAGCGGGCAGGCAAAGGCAGGGCGCTCATGTCCGTCTGCCACAGACCGCTGCCGGTCTTTGCGTTTTGTGCGAACCGGGTGTCAGGCATTTTCATCAACTTTGATCAAAATCCAAAAATAGAAACAACCGCATTCACTGCGTTCGCCTCCTGTTGTATCGAGTCTCCTGGAGTTTTCAAAGACAGAATGTCACACCCACAGAAGCAGAGACAGGGAGAAAAAGAGAGACAGAGAGAGAGAGAGTAGAAGAGAGAGTGTAGACTGAGAGTAGACTGAGAGTAGAGATTGAGAGAGCGACAGAGAGAGAGTGAGAGAGAGAGAGATCGGGATGTGAATGAAAAAGAGACAAAAGCCCATCTGCCCATCCACCCATCCACCCATCCACCCAAGGACAAGCCAAAACGTTAATCCCGCCCCGCCCCCTCTCTCCTCTCTATGTGTGTGTGTCCCCAGTCTTCTCTCTTGCCGAGCATTGGCTGCATGACACAAGAGGCACGATAGAGAGCTAGAAAAGCACATTGGCTGAATGGCCGAGAGCCAGACAGCGACGGAAAGCCACGGGTGAGGCAGCGAGGTCGAGCGAGGTCGAGAGACACACACTCTCTCTTGTCTTTCTCTTTATTTTTATTTTTTAAATTTGAGTGCTAAAGAGCAAACTTGTCTCTCTCTCTCTCTCTCTCTCTCTCTCTCTCTCTCTCTCTCTCTCTCTCTCTCTCTCTCTCTCTCTCTCTCTCTCTCTCTCTCTGTGCTTCTGCTGCTTTTGACTTTGGGCTGCCTCGTCGCTGGTCTTTGGCGGGTCGTAGCTCGGCTTGGTCGGCAGAGAGGGGTTAGTAAAAGTGGGTTGCCAGTTGGTCAGCAGACGGGTGGTGGTGGGCTGGCGAGGATTGGCTCAAAGGGTCAGAGTGTGGGGTGGTGCCTGCACTGTTGCGACGCTGGCTTGCTGCCGAGTCCGGCCGGCTGCTGGCGCTGCCTGGGCATCGTTCTCCTGGCTGCTTTTTGGGCTCGCCCAAGGCAGCCTAGGCACAGCTTGCCTCGACGCGCTCTACCTTGTTCCTTTCCAGCTGACAGTCAAGCATTCAAGGGGCACCGTCGAGCATGGAGCGCAAAACCAGCGTCTATCTGCCGCCTGTCTCGGCCATTCACACAGACAAGATTCTCGAAAATGAGAAATGGATCATGACCCCCGACAACCCGACGTTGTTTCAAGAGATTCCTCTCGAGGCTGTTGACCTCACCAGCATCCCTGCTGGCGTCCGCAACCACAAGTACAACCGCTATGCAGATGTCTTGCCCACGTATGTGTGCACGATTCTCACCTGCTCTAGCCCGTCTGTCGCTTCCAGCCGCCGCCTCATCCGGTTATCCTCTTGCTTTAGCCCGGCCACCCGTGTTCCGCTGGCCGAGTTGGACAGCGATCCCACCACAGCTTACATCAACGCCAACTTTGTGCGGGGTGCTCACAACAACAAACGCAAATACATTGCCGTAAGCACCCCGCACCCCTTTAGACCGTGACCCCCGACACAAGAGCGTCGCGTGCGTTTAGCATTGTTGTGGTCACCCACCCTCACTCGTCCTGGTGTAAAACCATGTTGTCGCGCCATTGTGATTCCAGGCCATGGCCCCTTTGCCCGCAACCCTGCGAAGCTGGTGGCGCATGATTTGGCAAGAACAGGTGACCGCAATAGTCATGGCCACGCCCCTCAACGAAAATGGCACAGACCTCTGCTCCCGCTACTGGGCTCCGTCTCCTGTGAGTGGACGGCCAGAATTGTCCATTGTCTTCCTGATCGCTACGAGATCCGAATACAATGAGCCCTGAGTACGCCCCTCTTGGATCCACTCTCACATGTGCATGCATCTCGGACATGGCGAGGATATAGGGTCAAAAGATCAAGTGCATGAATATGTTTGTCCGAACCATGGCCACCAGCGATGTCAAAGACAAGGTCAGGCGCCGCCTACAACCGCCCGCATCCTTTGCTTCGCAACCGTTGACATGTCCAGAAGCGCTGTCTGGCTTGGTGGATTGCGTCTGCCGCCTCAATTTGCGGAGTAACCCTCTTCCATGCCTGGCATCATCCCACAGGGCTACCTGCGCACCCTGCTCCAAATCGAGGCAGAGGATGGCGAGAAGCGACAGCTGATGCACTTTTGGATGTACGATTGGAATCCCAGAAATCCCGACAGCCTACTCTACTGTCTCCGTGACATGCACCTGTAAGATGGATCGCCTTCTGCTTTTTGCCTGCCTGACATCGGGGGCTTGGCAGTCAGCACTCACCCGCATTGGCAGGCCACAGCGGCAGCCCTATCGTCGCTCCAACTCACTGCTTACCTTGGCTTTTCACAGGAGCGAAAAGCAGCTGGCCAAGGGCGGCCCCATATTGGTCCACGACAGCGCCGGTGTCGGCCGTGCCGGCGTTATCATTGCGACCGACTTTGCAACCGAGCTCCTAGAGTCAACGGGCAAGGTACGCGTCGCTATTCCGTCCCCCTCCTGATCGTCGCCACCCTTCTCATCTCTCGTGTCCGTCTTTCCATCTTCCATCTCGCGCCATGCGCGTAGGCGGACACGCTTGGTATTGTACGCGAGTTGCGCCAGGATCGCATGGCTCTGGTCCAAACTCCGGAGCACTATCTGCTTGTGCAGCAGGCCATTCGGCTTTTTGCTCGAACGGCCGGTGTGGCCTTGAGCGAGATTGAAGATATCCACACGCAGCCCGAGGGCGCGCCTGCAGCTCTGACAGACACCAGTGCTCGCTCTGGTGCCATCGAGCACATCTCCATGCAAGCCACAAAAAAAGTCAACAAGAAGAAAAAGAAAAAGCATCGCCTCAGCTTTCGTCGTCGCGATGGCGAAGATTCGAGCTCAGATGACTCGGACAACGAAGGCAGCGGTAAGAAGAAGGGTCGCAACAAAAACAAGGGCAACGCCCTGGCCGATAAGCTGCGCGGCCTGCGTCAAATTCACGAGGGCGATGATGATCTGGACAACAACGTGGTATGAATGCATTGCCCAGCTTCAATCCGGTCGCAATACATCACCACCCAGTGCCGTACTGCTCGCTGCGTGAGCCAGCGCCCCATTTCATCTTTGCTTCTGAATCCAATAGATCCGACAAACCGACGATCGCAAGCTGGACGATCCGAAGGTCAAACAAAAGTGGCAAGAGGAGCGGGAAAGCTTTGCCGCCAGCAAGCCCACCTCACCGGAGCCAGCGCCCGAAGCAGCGGCACCCTCCTCCATGTCTGCCAGCGTCCAAAGCAACGAGGTGGCCTCGAGCATTACACCTTCTCCGCCCACTTCTGCATCCGTGCTCAACGGCGCACCATCCACAAGCTCGCAGGACACCTCCCGTGCACCTAGTCAAAGCATGCCCCCACCCAGCTCACCGGTGCGCAAGAGCGCGCCTGTGTTGCGGCGGCTCTCCTCGGTATGTGCCAGTGGGTGACCCTGTTAGCGGGTTTGGCTAATATCGTGACGTACCGGCAGGCATGGCTATCGCGGGGAGTGTTCGGGTGTTTGCTCCGGTCAACTCACAATCTCTACCTTCCTTGGTGCTCGTCCCGGATAGGCTCGGACTACCGAGCTGGAGCAGCAAATTGCCGAGCTCAAACGTGCAATTGCCTCAAAATCTGAATGGTTGCGCACGCTGCGAACCAAGCTGGAGTCGCAGCAGCACAAGGTTTCGTCATTACAGCTTGAGTTTGACCAGGCTAAACGACAGCTGAACACTGTGGAGCTGGGCAGACTGGCCGAGGTTGAGAAGCAAGTCGAGGACGAGCGTCGTCACGTCGTACTCCAGGTGGTTGGCGCACTCGATTTGCAAGGATTGAGCGAAGCCGAACAGGTGATCATGAGTATGGCCATGGCACCAACGCCCGCCTTCCGACACGTGACGGCAGCTCATCGTCTTGCAAAGGTGAGTGTGTTGCATTTCAAAGACACGTGGCTTCTTGATTCAACATTTGTGTTCTTTTCTTGGCCGCTGCTCCGACATCTTATGCTGGTCCGACTTCTTGTGTGCTAGTCGTCACAAACATCCGAGAACGAGGATGCCCAATCAACAGAGGCCTCGTTGCTCGCGGGCATTATGGCTGGCATGCCGAGCATGCGGGGTGACTCAGCGCCAGCCCTTTGAATTTTGCTCAATGTGCTGCCGTTTTCGGCCTCGAGACTTAAACGCCCCTTCTTCGTTCCTTGACTCCGAGCTTGGGGAACGAGACGATTGCGTGACCCCGATGTGCGGTCTACGCGCGATTGGTGCGTCTGCGCCATATCCGTCTGACTGTTGTGAAATGAACTGCAGGGCCCGTGCCAAAAATGGGTATATTTTGTTTGCCTTCCATCCGTCCTCGTCCCTTGACTCGCATCCAGGCGCATGACGTGTTTGTTTTTTGTTTTTTTAATTCTGTGTTTTTCTTTTTGTTTTTTTATCTTCTTGTTTGTACCTGTCCGCGTGGCACAGCACGCCCGTGTTGGCGCCCCTCTTCGTGGCCCCTTCTCCTTTTTGACCTGTCCTGCTATACATGGACTGACATGCGAATAAATAATTCAATCCAGTGTCTGCTCTGTCCACTTTGCTCAGTGCTTCTGACCCCCAATTCGAGCAAAAAGAACACGAAACATTTGTTGTCATCATCCAATTGCAACGCTTTTTGTGTTGATGTTTTGTTGATGTTTTGCGATGTGCAAAAGTTGCGTGATCGATGAGGGATCGGACCTTGTTCCTCGCGAAGGAGCGAGCACGTCTCTGCGACAATGACCATGCCCTTGTGGGTGTTACTGGCCTCGCTGCTGTTGGTGGTAGGCAGAGGGGCCAGAGCGGAAAGTGTACAGCGAGGGTGTGGGGTGGAGCGTGTTCGCATCTGTGGTGCGCACTGCGAGGCGGTCAGGTCGCTTCCGTGTGTGTTTGCAACCTGGTCCGACATGCGCGCAGCTCTAGGACGCAAGCCTCTGCGCCACACGGTTATTGAGTTTGGCCCTGGACTCCACTTTCTTAACAGCAGCAGTCTGGTACTGGGACTTGATGATGCCAACGTGAGCCTGGTGGGGGCAGGCCGGGAGGCTACTGTTGTCTCGGGTGGCGTGCTGCTAGACGAATGGGTCGATGCACCAGAGTGGCCCGGTTACTGGCAGGCCCGCCTCCCAGATAATGTTTCATACGTACGTCAGCTCTTTGTATACAACCAGACGAGAGCCGCAACACCTGGGCTTGCCTTTTCTCGTCGCTTCACCGCGCGGTCGGCTGAGATGGTGTATAACCACACGAACATGAACGACCCCGAGCACTCCATCGTGCTCTTTCCGGGCCAGTTCAATGCTTCCTATCACAATCCCGGTGACGTGCTAGTCTCGATCTATCACTGTTGGACTCTGACGACGCATCGAGTTCGTGCCTTTGATCCCACCAACCTCACATTGACTTTGCTTCAGGCTCCGCACGTGGATATTCCTCGCTGTGAGCATGCGAGTGGAAAACGTTTCTATGTTGAGGATGCGCGCGAATACCTGGCTCGCGTCCCCGGTCGTTTCTACGTCGATCGTGAGGCGCGTATGATCTTGTATCACCCTCTGCCTTTGGAAGCGTCGCAGCGCTCCAAGTTTCAAGCCGTGATCGGTCAGAACATCACCTTGTTGCGTGGGGCCGGTGCAAGCGGTGTGCGAATAGCAAATCTCAGCTTGATGCATGGACAAGTGGATATGCTGGGTTATTTTGAAGGTGACTGCGACGCGCAGAGCGCCACTAATCTCAAGAGCGCAGCCGTCGTAGTCAACAACGGCAGCGACTGGAACATCACCAATGTGGCCATCGCCCACGTGGGAACTCATGGACTCTGGCTCAACGCGAGCGTGAGCAACGTTCTCGTCCAGGGTCTTCATACCTTTGACACGGCGGCAAGTGGTGTGCGCTTGGGTCACTATTCGGCTCATCCAGCAACGCGGGCCACGCAAGGAGTGATTCTCGAGGATTCCTTGCTAGAGACGGGGGGACAGGTTTATGTCATGGCCCCGGGCATGTTGCTGGTGGCCTGCCGTGCGTGCCGGGTGGCTTACAACACAATCCGAAACTTTTCCTATTCTGGCATTAGTACGGGATATGGGTTTAGCGAGGCGCCCGCCGACCTGGCTGACACGGTCCTGTACCGAAATCATCTGCACAGCCTGGGGCAGGGTGTTCTCAGCGACATGGGGTGTGTTTACACCTGGGGTGGCGACCAAGCTGGACTTCGGGTGGATGGCAACGTGTGTCACGACGTGGTCAACTTTGATCCGGCCCTAGGTGGCTACGGTGGTTGGGGCATTTATACGGACCAGTCTTCTCGCAACGTGGTCATTTGCAACAATCTGGTGTACGATACGGCGTCCAGCTGTGTGCACGAGCACGAAGCTACGGCGGTGTTGCTGTCCAACAATATACTGGTGCAAACAGGGCGGTGGGCTAACCCTGGCGCGGCTGCTTTGCGGGGTGCGCTCCCGGACCCCCGACGTGACATCTGGGCCAACTTTACGCTTACCACCAACGTGCTAGTGTCCGAGGCTGGCAATGCGAGCTCCTCAGGTCTCCTGTTTTATGCTGCTGCGGACTGGGCCGTGGCGTACAACAGCAGTGCTTACGACTCCAACCTCTATTTCGTGTCCGAGGCCAGTGGCCGTAACGCTTCAGCGCTTCGAGTGTTTCCAGGAGGGGTGACGTTGGCCACCTGGCAAGCTCAGGGTTACGACCGCCGTTCTCGTGAAGCTGATCCTTTATTTGCTGACCCAGCCGCCCGCAACTTTTCCTTGCTTCCGAACTCACCTGCGCTGGCACTCGGGTTCCAACCTGTGCCCTGGGAACTTGCTGGGTGCTCGTGGCCCTCTTGTTAACTCGACCCTATCTTGAATATAATCGAAACATCTATAGACGGGCTTGTGTGTGTTAGCGTCAAATCCGTGTTTCCACGCATTGGAGCACTCCAAAAGTGCTGGACCCTGACAGTGTGCCCCAGCTCTGAGGTGGTATCAACAACGATAAATCACATTGACAGCCGCCCTTGATCCAGCGCACTCCCGCATCAGACATTAGACATCGGGTGAGAGTCAGAGTAGTGGGTTTTTGCTACTAGTCAGCCTCCGCGGCGAGTAGTAGTAGCCAATTGCACGGATATGACGCGGTATGTGGGGATTAGGCAATCTGTACAGCTTCCCCAAAACCAGAATCAGCGACGGTATGAAAATCAAACGACACCGACCCCTAACAAGACGAGTGCGATCGAGTCGGGCCAGTATCACGAAGTAAAAAAAAAAAAGAAAAAATCCGATGAAAAATACGCGGAAATTGACCGACCATCTCAGGCTACAAACCAGAAGAACAAAAAGTTGTCAGCGACGGGACTCGAACCCGCGCACGCGAACGTATCTGAACTTGAGTCAGACGCCTTAACCACTCGGCCACGCTGACATTCTACTCGCGTTGCGCGAGAAAAATTTGCTCAAAAGTCAACCAAACGAAGTCGTTGCTCACATCATCAGCAAAAGAAACTCTTTTCATTCTTCAGTGATGAGAGAAAATTACAAAAAGTTGTCAGCGACGGGACTCGAACCCGCGCACGCGAACGTATCTGAACTTGAGTCAGACGCCTTAACCACTCGGCCACGCTGACGTACTTCTATTGAAGCTGTCATTTCGTGTGAAAATAACATATATAAAATATTGTCACTTATCACGATGAACGAATCGGGTCTATTTCGGGAATATCAGCACACAGACCAAAGTTGGCTTTGCACTTTTTTTTTTCTGAGAGCAGGCAAGCAAGCGGTGGCCTTTTCCATCGGTCAGTACAAGTCGTCCTGCCAATGCGACTGACGCGGTCCACTGGCGGCCACGGCCGGTCATAGCATCTCCGTTGTGAGGGTGGGCTGGGCTCATTTTCGTTCATTGCATGCTTGGCTCAACAGTCATCTCGAGTCTCAGTTTGGCACAGTGGGCGATGGCTGATCCAAGCTTGATCGCAACTTCAAGAAGGAAGCGCTTCCCCCGTGGTTCGTGATGCATGCGCGTCATTGTTCGACGAGCACAGTTGTCATCTCGCTCATGACCACATGCGGGTGGCGCAGCTCGATACTATGACGAATATCATGGCCACCCGGTCTCGCTTCTTCAAGTCAGCCACCTGTACTGCACAAGCGCCTTGCTGCATGCCTCCTTCGTCTCACGCGAAGGCATGCTCAACGTTCTCTCACCAAGCGCACTCGGTTGTACGGGTCATTTTTATTTGCCGGAGTGCAGAGCGTTGAAGCGGCAGTGCGACCGGCCAACAAGCAGTGCGTACACCGTTCTGTCATTATTTGTGGGGGGAAGCATGCCCAGGTCGTGCCTGTAAAAGGCTGTATCACCGGTCCTTCTGGTGCGCTTACCCTCTCGCCCCCTGTGTCACGCTGGCATCAGGGTGATATATCTGGCAGGCGACTCAAGCTTGGACAACAAAGCATGGTTGCCAGCCTCTGCCATCGCGCCAGCCGTTCGCGGCTATGAGAAGCTGTTTTCGAAGATGCTTCTGGTATGGTCGGCTCATGGCGATGCGAGAACGGCCATGGGCAAGCACTTACCCGTGCCCTCTTGATGCTTTTGTTGGGATCTAGGACGTCGCTGGTCATGTGAACACCCAGCTGCATCAGCAGGGTCTGCCCGTCGGCTGCATCAACACGGCCATCGAGGCCACTACCCTTGCAGAGCGCCGAAATCAGCTGCTGCGTACGTCTTTGTCGTGATCTTGTGCAGGCATTGATGCATCAAACCCGCCTCGCTCAATGATCAAGGCATGTCGTGAGTAGCCCAAGATCAGTTTTTGGCTGATCATATCCAAGATGGAGACATCTTGGTTGCCAGCATCGGTGGAAATGACATTGCGCTGCGCCCTAGCATCGCAACGATCATCAATCTGGGTCGGTGTTCATGTGCCGTGCTGTTTTGGGAAAAACAAACCGCACGGCCTGGCTTGGGACTGAATTCCCCACCTGTCCACGCACTCACGTGTCCACGCACTCACGCCCGCATGCTGTGACCATCGGGCCGCCACTGCTCTTGCACGACTTGTTAGCCTGGCTCAACTTTGTCGCATGGGATAGCTCCATTACGTCAGGAAAAGCTTGGGGATTGAACTACTTTGTGAAGCTTTTCAAGGACGATGTGACCACGTATTTGCAGCAATTGATTGGAGGCAAGCGCCCGCGAGCCATCGTCGTTTGCACCATTTACTTTCCTTGTACGTGGCGTGCCAGGCGCATTGTCTTGCTGACCGCGCTTGTTGTTGCCGGGCGGGTGAGCACCGGCACGCTGGCTCCCAACGACTAGCTAACACAGAGCACTGCCAACACATGAATCACATGAATCAGGTGAAAACCAAAGCGGATGGGCCGATCCGATTCTCAATCTGGCACGCTACTCGAACAACCCCCAGCGTCTTCAGGTGCATCTCAATTCCAGCCTTGGTCGAGATCAGAGTGTCCAGTCGAAAGGCACGAGGCGTACTGGCATGAGACGCGCATGAAAGGCTCACAAGGTGGTCTGTCTGCCTGCAGAATTTAATACAACAGATATTTATTCGCGCTACCTCGGAGATTCGTGTGCAGGGAGTACCCGTCATTCCCGTCCCCCTGTTTGATGTGCTAGATTCCACATGCCCTGGTAAGTGTCTTCTTCTAATCCTGCTGCACATTGACACTGGACGGTCATGACTCTACATGGTGCTGCCCTCGCGAATAGACGACTACGTAGATAGAGTTGAACCCAGCGTTCAGGGGGGCGAGAAGATGGCCGCCTTTCTCTTGCAACGTCTAGCTGAACACGGATGTCTTCATCAGGCGTAGCAACTGTTGTATAGTTGACCTGATTTTGCCACGATCTGTACCACCAACAGCTTGAGATTGTACTTCATCATGGCTGTGTTCGAGTTTTTCTCAGCTCAGCATCGCACGACACAGGAGCGTCCCAACCTTTCCGCTTTTTCATAGTGCGTACCAAAGACTCTCTCGTTATCAAGTCTGACTTTCAGGGACCTCAAAGTCAGGCGCAGCAAAATTTGATAAATGAAATGTAATTACGCTTACGCTTTCTCTTTGCGGGGTCAGGGCAAAACCCTCAAACAAACTCAAAACAACAAGCAAGGGTCTGGTCAAAAACAAAACGACATGACAACTCAGCATGTAAACATGGAATCATGCCGGCGACTGCAAACCGGGCCACGCTTCCAATCAAACAGGCGTCATGTTCAGACCCAAGGGATGAGGCAACACGTGCGGCGATGCACTGAGGAAACGCACAAGCATGCCCAAATCTTGACAAACGAAGCTGCCATCCGGTTCCACAGTGCAATGCGAATACTCGGGGTCAACAATCACCTGTTTGATCTCAATGCCACCACGACTGTTACAGATATGCAGCCACACGTTGTAAGTGTTGACGCGCTGGAGCACAAAAGAGCCCGCCAGCGTTCCATTGCCCTCAAGCATGCCACGTGCTTGCGCTGCTGTTATACCGGCCGCTTCGGGAACACCGGAAAGCGGTCCACCCATGCTGTATCGCGAGGCACGCCCTGGGGAGATGCCTGAGCCAACAGGTGTAGCCGCTTGCGCCGTCGAGGGCCGGGTCGAGGATGGTGAAGTCATCAAATTAGCCCTTGAGTAATGTCCAGCAGCGTCTTCCTCCCGCACAGCGGGCAGCGCAGAAGGCATAGCGTGTCCCGGGGCCGTGCCACGGGAAGGCCGCGGTACAGCGCGAGAGCCCGCCGCTGGACCGGGCGCGGCCGAGCTGCGAGCGCCGTGAGTGACACTGGCAGGATTGGCATCTCCCTGATGGTAGGCGACTGAGCCCGAAGACAAGTTTGAGGCTGTATCAGCACTAGAACGGGCAGGGCGTTGCGCTCGGCTGTCTGTCTGCAGTCGGTAACGCTCAAAGTCAGAGGCCTCGTTCTTCTTGGGGCCCGGCATACCAGGCAGATCATCCAGGTTGATGATGGGACGGGATGGATGGCGCGGGTGTGCGACCGCGGGTGTCAACGGCAAAGCGCCCTCGGACCCGACATCACCAGCGGACTGAGGCCGGCTAAATTGGCTACGGGCTCGATTGTGCTGTGGGTTGGGGGTGGAGGAGCGTGACTCGCGCTGCGAGCGTGCAATCAACTCGTCCTTGGTCATGTATTCATCGCCCGTGTCTGGTCGAAAGTATGTACCCTCGTCATCGCGCGCTAGCACCAAGTAGTGGCCGTTCTCGCCGCGCACCAAACTCAACGCTTGCTCCTTGGGCATGTTAATACTTGAATGTGATGCAGCCTCCCGAGCCGGGCCCTCAGTCGTGAAGAGCTCCTGATAGACCTCTTCGTCCTCTTCGGTCTCCTCGGCGAGGCTGGTAGCACCCATGGAGGTGGGCGACAGGGGTTGAATGGTAGTGTAACCGTCTTCGGCATGGCGCAGGCTAATGTAACCCCCATCCAACTTTTGAATGCCCAAGGCCGTGCTCGGCAGCTGGTCCATGACGGCGCGCGAGTAAAGGCCACCGTTGCTGCGCTCGATGACAATGTAGGATTGATCCTCATCGCGCTGGCGCAATAGAGTAACGAGACGCTCAGCTCCATTCTCTTCCTGCAGGTGTTTGGTCAGAAGCTCCTTGAAATGTGAGGGCGGGAGAGAAAGGCCCTCGGCCACGGGTACACCTGAGGCGGGCGGCGCATTGGCCACCTTGACATATGAGCCATCATTGAGACGTTGAAGAGTGTGCACAGCTCCCGACTGGAGGCGGTAGCCGAGCAAATCGGGGCCCGCAAACGACTCTACGGTCACGGGCGTAAAATTGGCACCAGCCACCCGTTGTAGCATGGCTGCTGTAGGACCCGTATCACCCTCGAGGCCATCGTACAGCACAATGACGCGCATCTCCTTCGTCGTGTCCCCGGGTACATTTGGTACCGGCAGCACGGCGCCAGCATCGATGCGCTTAAAGTCAGTGAGATTTGAAAAGCCTTGGCCCTGCTTGCGAACCAGTAAAACCGCCGTTTCCATCAGCGTGTGCACGACCATGACATCGTCAGCGTCCTTTGAGGAGCGCACCGCCTTAAACTGGCCCGTGGGATCTGTCCGCAAGAACACATAACCTCCAGATGGACGATAGGCAATGATGCCTTCCTGCTGCTGGGTGTTGCCTCGGCGCACCAAGGGGACGGGCATGTACGAGCCAGCAGCCTCACGCATTAGTACGAGCATGTGGTGTTGCTCATTTTCCAGCACGAGCAAGGAGGGCTCCTCCTTGTTTTCCTCCAACTGCAGGCCACGCGATTCACGACGATAGCCTGAGCGACCAGCTGCATACGCGACTTCGGGGGTCATGCCACCATAGAGGGATTCGTTCTCCGAGCTGCGACCGTGGGCAGGGGGGGAAGGCAGCAGCTGATCTTGGTAAATGTAATCCTCAAAATCTCGACTGCTTTTGCCAGGCTTGTCTGCAGCCCCGACAGTGTTGCTGCGGAAGAGTGGATTGGAAATGGTCATATTGAGGTGATCCTCATCGCGAGATGCTTCCAAGGCCAGGGATGCCGTGTCATCGGTCAGCGGTGAAACCGCTAAAAAGCAGGAGCGAGCACAGTAAAAGCAAGGTCCCATGAGTCGTGTGACGGGGACTTTTGAGCATGGTGCGGTGCACAACGACGTACATGGCCGGCCCATGGCATGGCCAAAGGGGCCTTTTCTATCACGTGAAGGCCGCTGCGACAAAAGAAAAGGGGGGCAGTGAGCTGTCACTCGTCCGAAGCAGTTTGTGGCCGCCCGCGAAACAAGACCCAAAGGCTTGTAAGGAGGAGAGCAAGCATGCACCTGTTGTCGACGGCGCCGCAGCCAAAAGAGCAGAATCAATACGAGAAGCAGAAGAGCCACGCCCACGACCACGCCCACGACGATATTCACGGTACTGCGTGACATGCTCCCTCCACTGGCGCCTGCATGCACGGGGACACGTGTATGACGGGTTGGGTGAGGTAAATGAATGAATAGGGAGCTCGCGTGCCCAGTCGATGAGCGGCTATACACAGGAGGACAAAAACGTACCACGTGACCGGGCAAAAGCAAAGTTGTCGCAATCACAGTCAGCGGGCTCGCGGCCGGAGAATGTCAGGCTCGTTGCGGACGCTAGAGTGCTGTCGGCATTTTCGATTGCTTCCCGGGCCGACGCCTGGTTGTTGAGAGCCTCAGTACCACACACCATATCGCACGCCTGGGACGAGGTCATGGCAACGGGAAAGGCGCTGCTGTCTGCTGTCAGTCGCACTTGCAGAGTCGCATGTGTCATGTTGCCGTAGCCATCCACGACTTCATTTCGAGCGATGGCGTTCGCATCGGTTGTCAGCGCCACGAGCAGTTGTTGAGTCAAGGCGTTCACGAGGTTGTTGGTGGTGTCAGTAGACAAGAGCGTCGAGTTGAGACCTAGGGCCACGAGAACCAGCGCCTGGGTCTCATCTATAGTCGGCGTTGTACATTCTACTCCGGTGGAGAGTGGGGGTGGGTGTGGAGGTGAGCATGGCAATGAGGCAAACAGGCGCTAAAAGGGGAGCAACATGCACATGGACACACGTGGACAGAAACAACGGTATTTCAACAAGAAAAAAAAGAAGAAAAACAAACAAATAAACAAAGCACGGGCGTACGCACGTTGCACGATACTCTCCGATGTGACGTTGGGCTGCGAGCACGAGCCACGACAGGCGGCAGGGCAGCCAATGAAAGCCCGAGTGCGAACGACTGATCCACACCAAGCAGACCACAGGGTCCAAGGTGAATAGTCATAAGCACCATCGCCAATGCAGCAGATGCCCGTGTCACATGACGCGGTGTCGGTTTGGGAATCGCCGACTTGAGCATCCCCACCACAGCCGGTCTCATCGCCGCCACACGAAGCAGCCTCACAAGTACGCGTTCGCTGGTAAATGCCCACACCGCACGAGACTGAGCAGCTGCCAAAGTTCGACCAAGTGCTCCAGGCAGCGTCCACAGGACAGCAAATGTTTGTGTTACACGCGAGGTAGTTTGTTTCCGTCTGTCCAACGGTGCCGCAGTCGGTGGTGCCCCCGGTGCCGGCCTGGCAGGTGCGTTCAACCGGGTAGCTACCGGAGCCACATGTTCGGCTACAAGGTTGGGTGGGGGTCCAGGCCGTCCATTCGCCGACCACGCCACAGGCTGGCGGGACGGGGTCACAAGGGACGGTGGTGGTCTGCTCGTCGCCAGAGCAGGTCTGAGCGCCGCCGCAAGTAGCGTTGCTGCATTGGCGGGTGCGAGTGCGGACGCCACTGCCACAGGTGACGGAGCACGAAGAAGGCGTACTCCAAGCGGTCCAGGCCCCATCTACGGGGCAGCAGACTTCTGTGTCACAGGTGCGCGAGTCGGTGTCAGTTTCGCCGCTAGCAGCGCCATCACATAGAGTGGCACCACCGCAGACAGGGGTACCGCAGGTGCGTTGGCGCGTTTCAGTCCCCTGACCACAGGTCACGGAACAATCGGACCAGGAGGACCATGTGTCCCAGGTCGCATCCTCGGGGCAGCAGCCCTCATTGCAAGACTGCGATTCCGAGTCTTCGTCACCGAGCGCAGCGCCATTGCAGAGCGTAATGTTTGTGGAGCAGTCGGCCAGTGTGCAGCTGCGCGTGCGACTCTGCGTGCCGCCTAGGCAGGAGGCGGAGCACGGGGACCAGGCACTCCACATGGACCACGTGTTGTTGGCCGGGCAGCAGGCTTCGTTACAGTCCTCAGTCTCAACCTGGGTGTCGTTGAGGGCAGCACCGTCGCAATTGACGGGTCCCAAGGGGCATGCTGAGGGCTGGCAAGTGCGCGAGCGGGTGCGTTGGCCACCTCCACAAGGGGCGGTGCAGGCGGACCAAGCAGACCAGCTCTCCCATTCACTGGGCAGAGGGCAGCAAGCCTCGTTGCAGGGGATAATGTCCGTCTCTGAAAAGCCAACCACGGTGTTTTTGCAGTCGGAGTCTGGCTGGTTGCTGGCACATTGCGTCACACTGCCGGACGGGGCCTCACAAAAGCGCTCGGCATGCTGGGTGCCTCCGGCGCAGGACGCCGAGCACAAGGTGGTCGGGGACCAAGCCGACCAAGCGGGGTAGGCGCAGCAAGCGTTGCTTTCGCAGCCTCCATCGCAGCAGACAAACCCGTTCCCGGTATCACAGCATGTTTGCTCATCGGCACAGTCAAGACCGCTAGAGCCACACGGTGCAGCATCAAGCTGCGGCAGGCTCAGCGCAAGCACCAGGGCTAAACCGACGAGGGCCAACCTACGAAACATGGCAGTGGGTGCCCACCGAGCCACACCCAGCCGGTCTCGTACAGCCTGACTTTCAGCTGATGCTGTGATTAGGGTGGACCGCAGCCCTGGGGGCCTGTGTGGGAGCGAGCAAAGGGGAAGCGACCACCCGCGCTGCCACCCATCACCCAGCACCCCAACGTTTGTGTCAGGGCTACCTCGATCATCAACAACCGACCGGAAACCATCCAAGCCCCCTCGTACCAGAACCGTGTCCCCCAACAAATGCAGGGGAATGCCACTGATCAAGTCAAACGCACACCCACACCCATACGGCCGCCAAAAGTACCCCTTGATAGCCGTACCGCCTCTCCGTCTCGTTCCTTCTCTGTTCTCGGTGTCGATGTGTGGGCGTGGTGTCAAAAGCCCGCCCACTACATCTGACGTTTGTGTGTGTATGGGTGTGTGTGTGTGTGTGTGTGTGTGTGTGTGTGTGTGTGTGTGTGTGTGTGTGTGTGTGTGT